TGTTGGTTTAACGCTGTAATATTTTTAGTCTCAAGATTTCAACTTTTTGTTTTTTGATCATGTAATTTAGCATTTTGTTGCAATTTTAAGTCCTTAATTGAGTCCAGTGATCAAGCATTATCTACAATTTCAGTTCTTAAGGACTGAAATTGTAACAAAAATTTAAAATTACATGACTTAAATTACTAATCAAAAATTCATTCAAATGATTTTTTTTTGTTTTCAATTTAAGTCTTGTAATTATAACTTTTGTTAGCATTTACAATCCTAAATGACTGAAATTGCTTTGAATTTTAAAATCATATGATCAAATAACAAAAATGTTCAATTCTTAAGACTAAAAATGCTACTGAATCAAATCAACATGACTAAAATTGTAATTTTGCCAAAAAAAAAAAGAGTTTTTAGTATCCAATATGCATATATGAATGCAGTTTCAATCCCTTGAAGAAATATAGCATGTCCTCAATTAGTGCTACTATCGACGGTGTGACTTGGCACATCTAGCAAGGTGTGCCAAAATAATTTAAAATGAACATATGTAAACATGTTACACATATTTATTTTATAAAATAATATGTTCATTTTAAAAAAAACTTTGGCACACCTTATTATCCGTGTGCTATACAAGTCAAACTTATACGCTACATTTTTTATTTATTTTTTTATTTTTTTATTTACATTAAGATAAAGAATTGGGTTCAGAATAATCTGATTAAAAAACAAATAGCGCGTGTATTTAATGAGGAGCCAATTTATGATAATTAACTTATTGTGTATGTCAAAAAATGGTAGCCATGATAACGATGTCTTGACATTTTATTTCCTAATCGATGTGTGTACAACGATTATAAATTAAGAATCATGACATTTTTGAGGTTTCATATCTCTCCATTTTATTTCCTCCAATTACATCTTTTATTAGAAGACTTTGACTTGTCGAAACGAATGCCGTACACGACTGACATATATATTAATGAAGATAAATGAATTGAATAATCATGTACCCCAAAAAAAAAAAAAGAAAATGGATTGAATAATCTGATTTGTGATTTTTTCTTTTCTCCTTTTCTGTTTTTAGGGATGTTAGAATATCACTTTTTTTTTTTTTCTTTTTTTGTAACAAAAGAGGAGGCCTACGACCTAAAGAAAATTAAGTTAATACTCGTCGGGGGTAAGAAACCCTGATAACATCATGATCCAGCCAATGCCCCAACCCAGAGGGGGTGAGGGAACACGCCCGAAGACCCAAAGGGAACGATGACGCCAAAGTCGCCATAAAATCAGCCGCAAAGTTAGCCTCACGATGAACGCGACAATCCGAACCTGCCAGTCTCTAGACATCATCTCACGAATGGCCTGAACAAGTGTGCCGTGAATGCCATGCTGATCACCGGAGCCACAAACCATATTCCTCGCACACATGTTGTCTGTCTCAGCAATAATCTGTCGGTAGCCTCGGTCCCACGCCAGCTGCAGGCCCTGAAAGAGACCCCACAATTACGCTCCCGTAATAGTACAGTAGCCGATATTCATTAGGAAAGCATCCACCCAGGAACCCGACTCATCTCTAAGGAGGCCACCCGCACTTCCAAATCCCGTGGTGCTCTGAAACGCGCCATCAGAATTCACCTTAATCCACTCCGGGTCAGGCAGACGCCAGTGAATCATGCTCGTAGTATGGACCCCAACCCCCACCTACCGCAATGCAACAATGGTGCGAACATACAAATCAGCCCGACGTAAAAAATCGAGGCGTCGGTCAACACAGCTCACGGTATGACGATTAAAGACGCGATCGTTACGTCACTTTCACATAGACCATGCGGCATGGGCGAAGATGCTGTCCCAATTTTCCGTCGATCGTCGCGGGCCCGGAGAGTGGGTTACTCCTACCACAAATTGGTTTTGGGATGTAA